GGCGTATTCTACTTTTGTATCGCCGCACGTACCTTTGCGCGTTACACCTCGTATTACGCAAAGTTATGCGACCGTTTACGGAATAAATCATGCTTTCTTCAACAGCCGCGCGGCGGTTGTATTATTAAATTGCAAACTTTTTCCTCGCCCGCCGTTTCTCCCGCTTTCAATGGGAAACTTCTCAAACGCGGGGGGGTGGGAGGGGGGAGAGGGTGCGCAACCGGGTAACGTGTAACAGAACGCGGATCCGCAGTCCCTCGTTTAGAAAACGCCACGCGAAACGACCGACGGGAATACGTTACCTGTCGGATGCCGTGCCGCGGCGGACGCGAAAGGATAAATCGAGTTCAGCTATGCGAAACTAATAACGCCGCGTGCCTGTCCGGCGTTTCCCTCGCAAGCGGCGCCGTTCCTTCGCGCCGGCTCACGTGCTTCCGTGTATAAAGTGAAGTCGACGTATAACGCTGTGGGGGTGTATAATATAAATTAACGAACGCTGTACGATGTCGCTCGCTCCTCCACGTCGCTCCGTAATTCAGCGCTGACTCACGCACCGCACGCCAATTGAACGAGCCGCGTACGATGACTCATGCACGCGTACGGTATCTCCTCCCTTCGGTATGACGAATCCCTGGACGCGTCTTCGGAAAGAAAAAAAAAAAGAAGGAAGAAAAATTGGACTGTCTATCGGACCCGGGGTTCAGTTCTGACGTGTTCAATTTCCGCGGCAGGTAGATGCGTGCAGACACGACGAGTAACCCCCGTACTCGGAAAGCAAAATATTTATTTATTATACAAGCGCAACTGCATCGAGAGTCTCTCTCTCTCTCTCTCTCTCTCTCTCTCTCTCTCTTTCGCGCCGTCAAACTGAATTTGTAGTTGCCTTACACGCGGATCTGAATGTGCGACGTTTCTTCTATATTTTTCGAAGTAGGTTGAACTAAGCAGCAGCAGCAGCACCGCCAGCATCAGCCAGGGCTGAGAATTGCGCGGGGCGTCGACCGCGGAATTTTCATAAGTCCCGTGCGGGAAAACTGCTGTTAATTAAAAGCGTAAAGTTCATCGCGGGTAAGGCGCGTTGAACCCGACGAGACTTCGCTTTCTCATCGGAGTTACTGCATAACAATAAATTCGGCGCGGAAAGTTCGCGTCGGGGTTGGTCGGCTGCGCATAACGGGCGCTGCTCGAGGTAATAACTCGAGTTTCGGAATAACTGTTTGCTCGCAAATTCCCCTCTCCCCCCCCCCCCCCGCGGGGAGAGGAAACTTCCGGCACTCGTCCGCGCGAAGTACGCGTACGCGCGAGCCCATTACGTGATGAAAGAAACTCGCGACGAGTGATTATTGTCGCGTAATTAGAGCTCGTTCGTTCTGTCGGAGACAACAGTGCTCTCGGAACTTGCGGCGCGAAGATTCCCTAAGATTCGGGAATGATTTTACATGTCGAGTTAAAAAGCGCTTTTTTATTATTTCTGAACATCGGAAAGGCTGTTTCTCTCGTGCATGTGATGGACAGAATGGTGGCAACATTTTTTTTTAATGCATCTGGAAACGTGCACTTGGATTCAGGGCTACGTTTCAAGATCTTCTCCGAGGTATATTTTACTCGATGGTCATTCCGAAACCACTTCGAGCGTTTCCGATCTATTTCCCGAGTAAACTTTTCCTCAGGGAAAATGTTTTGGAACGTAAACCTGAATCTAAACGCGCGTTGCTAAACCCATCAAAAAAAGTGTTGCAACTCCATTCTGTCCATCACTGTACACAAAAGATTGTGATAATTTTAAAAGAACTTGCGTCACATAATGCAAATAGCTGAAGCGTGTCATCAACCTCTTCAAAGGGTCCATGTAAATCGAGCGATATTCGGATCAGTGTCTGCAATTGTCTCTGGCGTAATAATCTCTTTCGGATAATCTGTCGCCGATAACTTTGGGCACGCGAGGGACCGAGGCGGCCGCTCATTTAGACGTATTACGGTCTCTGTGTCTCACCCCGTATCCACCGTGGCGACCCAACCCCTACCGCACGCGGTGCTTCAATCCCCTTTGAACACCCCGGCTCTGTATGAAGTATAACACTTCCGCGGTGTCGCGCAGACGAGAGCCAGGCGGCGCGGGTTAAGTGGCGCGTTCTCGCGCGAATACGACCTCGTTAGAGCGAAGGCAAGAGCGAGATTTTTCATTCGTACGATACACATTTCGGCGAATGACCTCTTTAGATAACTCAATAGCGACCCTTTTCCACGAGGGATTTAAATCTAGCACGAATCTACGTGTTAAACGCGTTAAATGTCTCTTCGAAATCTTTTCCGAAAGAAACATCATTTCGGTCCTAGAGACGGAAAACGCGCGTGTATATCATCGTACGCTTTACACGACACGCGGGCTGATAGGGACGTTGGCGAGACGTTGAGGCATACGAGGCGAGACCCCGCCACCCCCGCCGTCCTCGCCTCGTCCAGCGTATAGGTGTATCTTGAAATGCGGAAACGCGCGCGAAGCCACGACGTCGCGTCTCATCCACGCCGCATTTAACACCACGAATTCCCGCAGAATGGACATCCTGCTGCGAGACATGAACGCGCCGTGGCGATGACAAGCCTGATCTTGGAGAACGCCGACTTGAACCGACTCTTTCCGAAATGCCGGCCTAGGGGCGGCCCACCCCCGGCCCCGGGGGCCTCCACGCAGAGCAGCCAGCAGCCGCATGACAGCCCCTGCCAGACGGAGGCCGCCGCTATCACCACCACCGCCGCCACCGCTGCCGCGATCGCCGCAACAGCCGCTGTCAGCATCGCCTCTACGAACACGTCGACGAGCGCCTCCGCGATATCGGACGACATGATCGACCTCGAGCGCGACACCTCCGACAGGCAAGTTAAACCGATTTAAACCGAGGGGCGACGAGGGTGGGGTCGTGATCGGGTTAATCGGGCCAGCTCCGGAAGTACCGCGAGAAAAAGCCGATGGATGACGGTGATTGGAGTCTAATATTCCGGTAGACGATCTAATACGCGGGGCGCGGCCGAAATTGACGTCGGTACTTCAAGGACTCGACTCTCGCGAGGCAGAATAGAACGGGGCACTTGCGCGTAGCGCTAAGCGCGCGCGAAGCATTGTTATTTACGCAACGCAATTATTTGTGGCTTTTAACGGTAATGCTACACTCTTCTTTAACGATCTCGTAACGAGCGGGATATTAGTTATATACGAACAATTTTATTACCGCGCACATTTTTATCATGCAATTATTCCGTCTAACGTCTCACGCAAAATTGTAGGACGATAATTATGTAATTGAGGAGCCAGATGGGACACGGGCGCGCGGAATATAAAGATGAAAAACCGCTCCGCGCGAGGAGCGTAAAAATTAATTAGATTTATGGACGAGTAAGTACACCTTTGAAAGTGGATCTTTTCCACCAGCTATTTAGATAATTCCAAATTTTTCGGGGATACTACACTGAAAAACAAACTTCGCTACCGTAGCCAATCATGGTTTGCTGTCGCACCTAGTAGGCACAGTATGCAAAATGTTTAGCCGTCACAGCTAAATATTAGCTGTCCATATTTAAAAACTGAAATTTAGTTGCCACATGCAGGTTTTAGCTACGGCAGCTACATTTTTCTTTCCGTGTGGGCAAACTCGCGTTACACCCTCGTCCCATCGAACTCCTCAGTTAGCGATAAACATGTCGATTCCCGCCATAAAGCGATGGTCCGGGAACGTTTCTTTTCTCTGTCTCTTTGTTTTATTATACCCCCTCTAACCGAATGCCAATTGTTAAGAGTGCCAAGTTACGTTCGTAGGTATAGGAAACGAGCGAATGGCAGAAAAAAATCAGGTTCGCTGTCCCGTAGGACGGCGAGCGTGGTGCCCGGTTTCACGGTCGAGGGCCAACTGCCGCACGCCACGAAGCCGCTTTCGTCGAGCTCCTCCTCGGCGTCCGGGCGCAGCGAGGATGCGCCGCAATACGGTAGCCTGCCGGGCAGCGATCATCAGGGACAATCGCAGCAGGACGACAGCGGACCCGAGGGAAGCCCCGTGTACATTTTGACCTCGGCCAAGGGTGGCCCCAGCTATAAGTACCATGAATCAAGGTAACCGAGACCCGTTTAACGTACCGTGGAAATGTAATTAACTCCCAAAAGTACCGACGATTCGGTTCCATTTATTACCGACGGCAAGGTAACGGTCTACAAGTACACGGGTATAACAGGACCGCCGCTATTTTGGTCGAGGACGAAAGTTCTATCGCATAATATTCGTTTACAAGATCGTTTTTCCAAAATTTAGGGAGAAGACGGGGTCGATTTTAGGTCCAACTTTTAACAAATACAAGAAGCTTCTTCGGCATCTCTACAGTATGGCGCGACCGAGGGGGAAACGGCTAAGGGCATTGTGGTGTACAGATTTGCGGCATTACTGGGCATTACTAGGCATTGCTAGGCATTTTTTGGGCATTAGGCCTTGCTGGGGCATTATAAAGATAAAATAAGATAAAATAAGATAATAAGATAACGTAATGCCCACTGGGCATTAGTGGGCCTTGGTGTGCAAGATTTTGGCTAGCTTTTTTCCCCCTCGGACGCGACTGTAAAAGCGGACTAATCAAATGTGTGAATCTCGTACTTTGTTCGTATCGCTTTGTACACGCGGCGTCATTAATGCCTAGCCATCTGAAGTTGCACGCGGATCGAGGTACGTTTGAAAAGCGTGCGACTTTCTAACTCTTCGTGTATCGTGACATTGAAACCGGCAATGCTGATTCGCTGTTTCCACGGTCATGATGCACGAAGAGTCGCACGCTTCTCAAACGTACCTCGATCCGCGTGCAACTTCAGATGGCTAGGCATTAATGACGCCGTGTGTACAATGCACCCTAACAATATTGTTGTTCAGAGACAACAATATTTTAATGTGCGACAAATACAAAGATACAATCGTCGCAAAATAAAATTCGCTACTTATCGTCAGACGGCGCGCTATTCACCGTTAATAAATCTATTCATCATTGATCAACCCGCTCGGTGCGGCACTTGAAATAAAAATTAAATGGCGAAAATAGCGCGAAACGAAGAGTGCGCTAAAGAACGCGGCTCCCGATATTTTAAAAACGAAACGAGCTGAAACAGAAATTAAAGTTAATTGAGGGGCGTTCGAATTACCGAGTTAAACGGTTAAATCGCGCGGCAAGGAATCGATAAACGGGCGGCATGGAGGCCGAACGTGTGCGAACACTTGTGTACATGCGAAAGTGTGTTACGTGTCGTATTGTGACGTTAAATTCGAGCGTTCGCTCGCGATGAAACGTGTCTGTCGTCACGATGAAAGTCCATTTGACGTACGGTCTTTGTGTATCTACGGGTGGACACGAGCGCCCGGTTTCGATAGCCGATACAGTTTCTACAGAGGTTTCCAACCAGAGTCCAGGACACACACACAGAGAGAGAGAGAGAGAGAGAGCCGACGTGGCGCGGCGCGATTCCCGCGCGCCATGTCCATGTATATTCAACGGGGCGTTAATTTCAAGCTTAATACCGACGATATACTCGGACGGAAATGTCACTCAAATATCAGCCGCCTCTCTTCCTCGCGCCTGCCGTTAATGTGTCGCGCGGACTGTCGCGATGTTATAGCAAACAAGTCAATATGCCCGCGCGACAGTGTAATCCGTCCGGCAAACATTTTTCCCGCCCTCTTTCTCCCTCCCTCCCCCCCCCCCCCGGCTTCTCGCGAAACGAAACGTCTTCGCCGTCGGCGATAACGTCGCGCGGCTCTTCACCGCGACTCGCGGCGGCAGTTTCTCGTTAAACGGTGGAAATTCGACGTCCCGGCGCGTTTAATGAAAGCCCGCATCTTCTGGCGAACGTTGAGCCGTTAGGCTCGAACAGGGGATCGCTTTAAAGGGGATCGCTTGAATTCTAATTGACAAATATTACGATAGGTACCGTTGCGAGCGTGACGATTCATTTGCGTGGGACGAGTCGAAATTTTAATCGGATTAACCGTGAAAGGATTCGCGCAGTGTTACTTTCGCTTGGCGATTATTTAAATGATTATAAATTTCGAGCGATATTTGTAAAATGAGAATGAAATATTCAACAATTCCTTGCATTTCCATGGTAAAGGAAGTCAGCAGTTTTACCTAGTTGATACCTGCGAGAACGCAATGCGATATTTGCGATACAAATTAGGCCGTCAACTTTTAGGTCTCATGGCTACACGGCTCTCATGAATATACGTTTCGTCATATTTTTTCTACTTACATTAAATTTTCATTTTGTGGCTGGAAACATCTCAATACATTGGTATTTAGAGACATTTCGTTTCACGCCACATTGGCAAGCTGCCTTTTTAAATGGCATTCTCTATGGTTTGCCACCATTTTTTTTTCGCATTTGCCACGACCCCAAAAAGCCCGTTGTATGTACACAATTTCAGCAGCATTTGAAAATATTTTATTCCTCGCGTTCGCCATTTTAAACTTTCATGTTTTCATTCATGTCTTGATTGTTTTTCGTATTTAAAAATCCCCGCAAATAATCAAACTAAATATCGAAAAAATTCGACATTTTACGTGAAAGGGATTAAAACCGTCGAATATTTATGACGCATAATACACATGTTTTTTTTTCGAATTTCGTTTCTCCGAAGGCGCACGCAGTTTGATAAGAAATACTTCAATATTCCCGTGAACGAAACGTCGCGCAAGGAATCCCTGGCGCGCTATCGGTTTGTCATTACTAATCGATTGGCACTCGAAGCGGCCCGCTTATCGGCGATGATAATCCGCGCGCAGATAGGCGCGCGAGTACCTTTTATTCTGCGATATTTTTGCCATTCGATCCGTATTTGCTCGGGCGCAGTCGAACGCGGGCACGGATAACTCGATAATTTCAAATTATCTCGTGAAGTTGTCGATTATCGGCGAAACTTCACGCGCGCGGCATCGAGTTTCTATTCTCCACCCCCGTCCCCCTCCGCGTATGAAGCGGAGTTAACTGCCCAATAAGCAAACTGCCCGCAGTATAATAACGGAGTGCCGGCAGATTTGCTCAGATATTACGACAGATCCTGTATCGTCTGTGTCCGTGTTAAACTCGTATTTCGCCGGCGAAGCCCCGCCGATGTGGGTTGTCGGCAGGATCCGAACGGAGTCTGTCATTTCGTAAACACTTAAGTGGGACACATCATTTAGATGCTTACGAAACGGCAAATTCCACCCAGTTTCCACGGTCGATCTGCCGCTGCATTATCGTTAGACGTTCCGTCAAACTCCCGTCGACGTACGCTTGCGTTCTGTCGAACAAAATTTCTAGCAGACACTTTCGAAATCTGCTCCCGACAGATTTGACTATCCGGGCGAAGTTGCCGATATCCGGCGGACTTTTTAATCCGAGCCCACCCGCGACTCCCACTTCGCTGGCTACCCGGCATACAAACTGCCGTTCAACTAGTCTTCATTCTAAATGTACCAAAAATCACTGTTATGTACAGTGATGGACAGAATGGTCGCAGGACTTTTTTCTCATGAGTTTAGGAACGCGCATTTAGAATCAGGTTGACGTTACGAAACGTTTTCTCCGAGGAGAATTTTACTCGAGGAGTAGATCGGAAACGCTGAAAATAGTTTCGAAATGGCTATCGAGTGAAATATTCCTCGGAGAAGAGGATTTTAAAACGTAACCGTGAATCTAAATGCACGTTTTTAAACTCATTAAAAAAAAGTGCTGCAAACACTTTGTTCCTCACTGTACAGTGACGGGCAGAATGATTGCAGCACTTTTTTTTATGAGTTTAAGAACGTGCATTTAGATTCAGGTGGACGTTCCAAAGCGTTTTCTCCGAGGAAAATTTTACTCGAGAAATAGATCGAACCCGCTGAAAATACAATAGTTTCGAAATGGCTATCGTGTAAAATATTTCTCAGAGAAGAGGATTTTGAAACGTGATCGTGAATCTAAATGCACGTTCTTAAACTCATTAAAAAAAAGTGTTGCAACCATTCTGTCGAACACTTTACAGAACGGTCGCGACACTTCTTCTTTTTAATGAGTTTAGGAACGTGCATTTGCACAGTGATGGACAGAATGATTGCAACACTTTTTAAATGAGTTTAGGAACGCGCTTTTAGATTCAGGTTTACGTTCCGAAACATTTTCCCTGGGGAAAAGTTTACTCGAGAAATAGATCGGAAACGCTCGACGGTCTCGGGATGGCCGTCGAGTAAAATATTCCTCGGAGATGAAAATTTTGATATGTAACCCTGAATCTAAGTGCACGTTCCTAAACTCATTTAAAAAAATGTTGCAACCATTCTGTCCATCACTGCGTGTACAGAATGGTTGCGACACTTTTTCTTTTTAATGAGTTTAGGAACGTGCACTTGCACAGCGATGGACAGGATAATTGCAACACTTTAAATGAGTTTAGGAACGCGCATTTAGATTCAGGTTTCGACACATTTTCTGGGGAAAATTTTACTCGAAAAGTAGATCTGAAACGCTCAAAATGATTTCGGAATGGTCGTCGAGTGAGACATTCCATCGGAAAAAGTTTTGGGACGTAATCCTGAATCCACCTGCGCGTTCCTAAACTCATTGAAAAACGGTGTTGCGACCATTCTGTCCATCACCGTACATGTCTTTAACAAGCAAAAGGCGGCCTTTGTGAGAATACAACGCAGTTAACGGTGCGTTATAACAATCTTTAAGTACTAATAAAGGTACGCAATTACAAATCGGGAACGTGTCGGCTCTGACTTGAGCCGTCGCCAGCGACGTTGCCGGTTAGGAACATCCAAAAATCCCGCGCTTTTCGGCGAGCACATTCGGACCGGACGGTCCAAGAACGATGCGATTTTCCACGAGAATACGCAATTTTCAAATCCTTACCAGTAATATGCATTTTTGTCCTTCAACAGAAAAGTCGCTCCTTTCCTAGAAGCCTTCCATTCTGCAGCCAATGACTACTCGCGTTTAAGAAAACTCACGCAAGCTGGCAAATTGTACGTTAACGTTGCCGACGAAGTTTTCGAGCGCCTCGATTCGCTCGTACGAAACGGAATGTCTCTAGACCAGCGTAGATCCCGAACCTCCGTGACTCGGCGCCGCGGCCGGTCACGGTCCGTCGTTGACGCTTGCCGAGCTCCGTAAATCGTCGACCTAACCGAAGATAAGAGAAGCCGGGGGCGGCCGCTCTACGGCGACGCGACGCGACGCGACGGGAGCGCATCCAGATGGTCGCCGCGGGAGTTACCGGGGCTCAAAAGTCGCGCCCGTTTTCTCCCACGTATGGCACGTACACACACACACACACACACATACATATACGTACATTTCCTCGTGAACGCCTTCTCTCTCGCCGTGATCCCCGCGCGCCAGCGGACCCTGCGTACCCGATGAGCACATTTTTCAATAAAGCATTCTAGGTGGTGCGCCGCCGGGGGCCCCCGTATCGCTCCCGCGACTGATAAGTTCGTGCCGGAGTCGATTCCCTCCCCTCCCCCCCTCCTGGCCGGCCGCGTGTTGGACGCGATCGCGGGCCACGGGGCACTCCACGCGCCAAGCTTTTTGGGGTTAACTCGCGCCTGTCACGGACGCCGAGTTTCGGGACTGCCGCGCTCCTTCTCTCTCTCTCTCTCTCTGTCTCTCTCTTTCTCGCGCCTGTCCCACGTGCGCGATGTCGGGTCTGACGGTTCGGGATTTATAAAACGCCCGCCGAGCGTCCGGCGCCCCCCACGTGGATCCTGCAGACAGGAATGAGCTCTCGCGCGGGGTACGTTCCGCCACGGGGTGTACGAGTCGTCCGTTCCGAAGGTGGCTGCGGGTCGGGCGTCGCGGTATACCGGACGAATGGGAAAAGTCGCGGGAACGGGCGAGCCCCGCCGCGGAGTATCAGCCTCGTCGGCCGTGCGTCAGTGGCCCCGGGCCGCGCCGAGCTCGAGTAAGCCCGGGACGGAAGGGAATCGGACGACGGCACACGATCCGGTAGGCGGTCGTGAGGATTGTATCACGCGTATGTAACACGCTTGTTCTTGCATTGTGCCCCGCAGAATTATAGAGATCGCCGGCGGCCGAGAGGTGTTCTCGCAGAGCCGAGGGAAGGTGGCGGCTAGAAAGTCGCGATTTCTGGCCGCGTCGAATTCGATTAATAACGAGGACACTCAGACTGATAATAAGCTGTCTGTTAAGAAGAACAACAAGTCCCCCAGCTCGCAGACCATATGGGAGTTGCGGAACCGGTAATTAAATTCTGTGTTTGATCAGCTTGAGAGCGCGCGCGCGCGCGCGCTACGCCTTACCGTCCGAATTACCCATGTGATCTTTCAGGTGCGGTGAGACCAGGAAGCAGCGCGCGAATCGAGAGGTGACGGAGACCGTGTTCGCCTCGGAGGTGCACTCGGTGCGACGCAACGCCACCACAAAGTCCATCCTCGATTACGACTCGCCCAGGAGCAACCGCGGCAGCCGCATCATCAATTACGATTCAATCCTGAATAGCAATAATGTAGAGTATACCGTACCGAAAAGTATTACCGATCTCGACTATGGCTTGCCCAAGAGCTGCGTAGATTATCAGTCGAATCACAACACGCCCGCGAGGAGCATGGCGATCGTCAGCGACGGCGAGGTTGTCGTGTTCGACGACATCGACGACAATTGGCAGGGGCTGCGGCCGGACCTGGCGTCGAGCAACACGAACCAGGTCACGACGACGGCGAGCCTGGACCTGGAGGCGGACGACTCGCAGCGGGGCCGCGTCGCCCCGGAACCGCCGAGCTCCAGCGTCGGGAGCAGCCCTAGTCCTACGACGGCATATCATCGCAATACTTCGGAGTTTTTCAAGGTACAACACCGACACCGCTTGTCGCGTGACTCGCCGTGTTTCACCACAGCTGCGCTCTTCGCTCCCGCAGGTTGTTACACCGGCGAGCGACTGCGAGGCGGACTCTCCTTCACCGGAGCGCAATCACAAAGTCGCGAGGGTCATCGGCGAGCTACCGATCGCCCAGTATTCCGGCAGCCCGAGACGTTACGGTGTCCGCGAGAATACGCAGCTCCCTAGCTTATTGTCGTCGCCCTCTATGTACATGACACCGAGGCCTGGTTTCCCGCAAAGAGTATTGCCCACGACGCCCAATCACAATGAGGTAATGAGGATGCCATTTGTGAGATAATATCATAGTGCGACTAGTAGGTCCACTCTCTGTCGGCCCCTTTGATCTTTGCACTCCCGGCCGCGCGGTATTCCGCCACTGCTTTGGTCAGTAATCCAGCGGTGTGTGTACGTGTGTTACTCGTCGAAGCTACATTATCGCACATACAACTTTTCCAAAGTTGGGAAAGTTAAGCACGAGGTAGTTTCTTAAAAAAATTCGACCAAACTGGCATAAAATATATATATTTAAGTCACAACGTTGCGACCTCTTATCAGGTCCTTTTCAAGTACAATCTAATGTTGACTGAACAATTTAATTTTATGCCGAAACAGGATGAGTACCAGCTCTATTCGAGATCTGCAAGCGCATGGTTGCTGCTCGAAAACTTAGAAAAATATTTAACATCGCTACTAAATTTTACTGACTACCGAGACACATTTGACGATACGAATTTGCTGTCACAAACTCATGTACTCATCCTGTTTCGGCATAAAATTAAATTGTTCAGTCAACATTAGATTGTACTTGAAAAGGACCTGATAAGAGGTCGAAACGTTGTGACTTAAATATATATTATGCCAGTTTGGTCGAATTTTTTTAAGAAACTTCCTTGTGTTAAGCTACCACTGGCGACAATAAGCCTCACTCAATTAGTTGGGAAAGTTACTTTATAAAAGAATCTAGTTACAATTACGGGTTTTTTTTGCTAAAACTGTGACTAGTTACAGTTACAAGTTACCAATTCTGAAGAGTAAGCGTTACAGTCGCTCAATAAGTAACGAGTCGTTACTTTGCGGTTACTTTCTTGAAGTGAGGATAAACATATCAAATCTGCATCTGAACTGTAAAGCGCCGATAAAGGCGTTCATGCGTAAATTCCGGACCTCACGTTACAGTTACAGATGGAGTGAAAGTAACGAAGTTAAGTTAGAGTTAACAAAAAGAAAAAAAAAGTAACCGTAACTTCGTTAAGGCCTGTGTCCACGATGCTAGAACTTGGTCCAAGTTCTAGTCCCGAGAAATGTGTGGCTAATCAAGTTGCAGCTTTTCTGGAATAGCTGCAGGTCGATTGGCTACGGATTTCTCGAAGCTAGAACTTGGGTCTAGCATCGTGGGCACAGGCTCTTACACTTTTCTCTCATTGGCTTGACGAAATGAATGTCGGGCGCGCGGAAGGGATCGAAACGCAAAACGAAACAAATGACGGAGTGGACCTAGCTATACTATAATATTGAGCGGCTTGGCGGTTTCGCTAACACTTTCCGTCTTGTGTTTGAAGAAGGAGGATACCTCTGCAGAAATCGTAGTAGACGAGACTGTGATAGAAAACATTAGAACCGAAGATCAGCCTATAGATCCTTCATCTCCGTCGCCGAAGGCCGAGGAGGAGGAGGAAGACTCTTTAAAGCCGTCGACTCTGCCTGCTGATAATATAAGCAGTCTTGTCTCGCCGGGTGGTAGCACCTTCGACTATCTCTACGAGTTTTCCGAGACGCGGAAAGTGTTAGAAGAATTCTTCAAGTGTCCGGCGCCGACGAAAGAAAAGGAAAACAATATAGAATCCTTTCCTTTCCAGGTAAATCCTTTGCTGAGGCAGCGAAACATTCACAGACGCTTACAAGACGTTCCTCTGTCGCGAAGATATCTGCAATAAACGTACACGAGAGTTGATGATTAGATAAATGTAGAGGAAAGTGCCCTGCTACGAGATATGTTCCTAATATGAGACAGCGGGGTTTTTTGCTAAGTCAATAGATAACATTTGTTGGTTCCGGCATGAATTTATTGCCCTTAGAGTGAGATCTGTTCAGTGGAAAATGCATTATTAGATGTAATCGTCGCGAAGAAAGCGTTGCGATTGAATTTGGATGTCGAAAACCTGCTACCTTACATTAGGAGCCCGTCTCATAATAGAGAACTTTCTTCTATCTATAATGATCTAAAGATATTTGAGAGGACACGTGTGCATGCAAAAAATGTATGTAACGAAGAACAAATTGAAAGCTTGTGAGTTATAAACGATTGAAAAATTCCATTCTGCCGCAAGGATCTTGATTATGAGTTACGAAGGCAAGGTGGAAGCGCGTACGTCGGTCAGCGATTAGCCAGCGGTCCACCCGCGACGGAGGAGGTTATGGTACACGAGTCTCCTAAGAAGCAACGGGCCGAATTTCCACAAAATGTGAGCATGACAGTGCACGAAGCAAGAAACATTATCTGGACAATCACCTTTTTTTCCTTTGCTTGAGGAGCGTTGGTCTCGTTTCTCATCGCGCCAGCTAAAGTTCAGCACAAGATTACGAGTGTTTATTTACGTATTGTAAACTTGAGCAACAATACAAAAGTACTTGCGATACAAACATTGCACCTTTAACAACTCTGAGGTACTTGATTGCCAATGTTTGGAGATAATCTCTCTTCTAGTAGTCACGCAGATTCTAAATATAAACCTGTATTTATAGACGCAGCTTCTATGCCGCACCGCGTGGTTGCTTGAAAAACTTTTCCGTGTTTAAGGCACTAATCGCGGTGTTGCGAAGTAAATATTTACACCTGGCTTTTTCCCGCTTGTTTTAGGCAGGTGAACACGAAAACAATTTTCTGGATCTCTCAGTAGGCACCGGCAGCAGTGAAGATCTTGGCGAGACCGAGGTCGGTTTGCAGGTGGGACACTCGCGTAATTTCACACTGAGCCCCGAGACAACCGACTGCGACAGCAATTGCGGCGACCTGGACAGCGAGGTATCCCTCATGATGATGGATAATGAATTGATGCCAGCAAGTGGCCTTCTCGGATCGGTCGGCGATCTCGGGAATAATTCGGATTCCCTGAGAATATACACTAGCATGCCGGTGTTGGAGGACGGACTGTCTAGTGGACACGCGAGCGATACTGACAACAATAATCCTACTGTGATGCTCATGAAACGGCAAATAAACGAGATAGAGAAGGAGATCATACAGAGAACTCGTAACGACATGCTAGGCACGAACGAGAATGACTCCGGGAAGGACGTTAGTCTAAATGTAACAAAGGATATTTTACACACGTTGAAGACCACGTCGCCCGATCTGTTTATCGCGAAGAAGGAAAATTCGTACGACACGAACGAGCTGCAGCTCGACGGATTGGATCCACTGGGCACGCCGCCGCCACCGGCGCCGCAGGGCCGCCAAAGTGTATCCCTGGACGTAAACTGCGGCGAGGTGGAAGCGGCCATCAAAGATATTAGAATGGCCCTGCAAAGGACTAAAACTCTACCTGTGAAATCGCCATCGGAAGAACCGCCGGAGCCGAGCGTTAGTCCGATATGGATACCAAGGTATTTTACGTTTTGTTTCATGCGGCTAAGGGTATTCCAATTGTTGAAATTTGTCCGATATGTTGCCTCGGTACTGCCTTGCTTACCACTGTGAACGTGCTTACCCCCTTTCACGACATTGATTATACGTTTGGGATACCCTTCGGGATATCTCTGTGTTGCGTGTAAACGCATCTAACTAAGATGCAGTATAATGGATGGCAGGCGGAGAGTCTGTATGGAAAGCAATAGCGAAGAATCTGATGCGCGTCGTATAGGTGACGAGGCCGATGTGGAAATTGAAGAGTGTCCGGACGAGGAGGAGGCGGACACCGATCTTGAAACGGATCGGTTGCTCGGACAACAGAGAACGGACGATCAGGGATTTTACGACGACAAGGTGGGCTTACGCACGATACTCAATATGCCGTATTCCATATTATTCTTATTAATCACTTGTTATAGCGACGAATCCTATTTCCTAAACAAAAGGGTACTTAGGCTAAACTAAACAAGTTACAGCACTTGTGACAATATGTCATATACATACACTCTCTTTACAACTTCCTACTAGGTAATATTGAGACGGTGTTAATGCGTTTAAATTCAGGGGGAAAAAAAGAGGATACGAATAATCTACATTTTCCTGTATTCTGTGCGATTCGATGGTATCGGTGTTCTACTAATATCGTCTTGGTGTTATGCAGGGGTGGAGGAAGCCTAAGACTAGGACTATGTTACCACCAATGAATGCGAAAGTCGCTACTCCAAAGCAAACCCCTCCCAAAACTTTGAGTGTCGCCCCGATAGAAACGCTAGCGCCTTCCGAGCCCATACCCTCGACGTCTGCCTCGATCTCCCCTCCTCCTGTAGTGTCTGTTATACAATCGTCGTCTTCTAACGAGTGCGAAGTAGCCACTCCCGCGCAACCTACATCGAGTCCGCAGAAGACCCCAGTCAAAAACTCCCCCACATCCCCTCAGAGCCTCAAGGAATCCAACAACAAGGTGAAAAAGGTGCCCTTTCAATGCTACCACGGAATCTGTTTTACTATTATAGTGACCATAGATATTTATATTTCTAGTGAGCTTGCGGTAAAATAGCACATGTTGGTGCATGACAGTACTATCCTTCTGTTGCTAAACGAGATATGTACTAATCAGCTTAAATATGATTTGCGTTGTCACCTAATTGCTCAAACATCATCTATTAATTCAAATAGCATAGGCGTTTGATAATTATCAGAATGTTATTTCTAATTTTAATACAAGTTTTATGACGATAGTCTCCATAATTTCAATAGAAAAATAAAATGTTACTTTTGTTACAGTCTTACGATATATATTCGATAAAAATGTTTAAGCTGATTTTTGTTTTGTAAGAGAAAAGGTACTTTTTTTTATCTTCTTGCTTTAGTTTTCCTTTATGGCTTCCGCTTATTATGCTTATTTTAATTTATAACAGAAACGTCGTTAACGTTTACAAAATATCGCATATTAGATTATTCCGTATCCACAAATAGTGCAATGATAAGAAGATGCTTTAGGATGATTTGTAATTATATGTGCTTCAAGGGAAGGACGTAGAGATCGAAACAAGAAAAAAAATGTGACGTGTGAACATAAGCCGTTTAAACTTTCTTTATATATTGTGTAATATTTTTTTTCTTGTTTAGGCTCTAAATTCACATCCCAAAAATTAATATTTAATTAAGAATAACGTAATTTTTTCATAACGCTTTACGAAACAACTATTATATGTTTTGCTTCGCAAAAGAGGAGGATTATAAAATTGCGATAGCATTTAGTGCCTATTCTACCGTTACTATTACTACCATAATTGTTACCACTGTTGTTTCTAGACGTAAATAGGGACATGTTAATGTTTATTAGCTTTCTTATATGGCAGTTGCTGCATGGTTAGCACATCCTACAGCTTAAGTGATTACATATATGATATTTACAAGACTAATTGCGAGCGTATTTGTCAAAATTTTATCTGCGCTATCATGCAAAGTGCATTGTCTGCTTTATTTTTCAGGATAAGGAGGGAAAGAAAAAGAGCAGAAACAAAGAAGGTATTGTCGCATTTTTATCGATACCATTGCTTTTCTTATACTCTCTAACGATTTTCTAATTACCACAGTATTACTAATGTTATGATGCTAATATAATATAATATTTCTCTTTTTATTGCTTGCTCGGATGTATATAATAAATTCGTCATCCGCTTCTAATCATTATTTTATGGTAGGTATTCTTTATATGTGCAAATATGTATTCTTTAATAATTAGAGTATACATATTATTGCAATTAAAGATAGTTGTATTGATAGTAATTGAAATTAATATTATTCACTGCACGACACTACTTAACGCTTTTATAGTATTTCTTGATAATCCAGTGTTTCTATCTTGTTTATGTGTAACAATGCTTTAATACGCGTAATATGTTTTATCAAGGTGTATCTTCTAAATTTATTATATGTACATATATATGTCATCTGTAGATTGCGCGCTCGAAGATCTCAGATATTTACGTTCCTCTATTTGTATTCCTCGATAAGACCACGAATTATATTGATAAGCAGTGTATTGAGGAGTCTCATAAGTGTCATAATCTTTTAATGTGATGTGACTGTGCATTTCAATTGTGAAATCGTGTACAATCGTGTCTCGTGCTTATACGTATCGTGAATTAAATAAATTTACGGTATAATTTCTATGTGAATAACGACAGAAATATTAAAAAACTGTTGGTTGATCTAGCCGCGAGAACAACAAAATTATAAAGTCAACAATTTTATAATTTCACTTAATTATAAAATTATATCGTTACACAGGGTGTCACAAAATTCGCAGATATGGAGTGCAAGATGCTATTGCGTGATTATGCTGAAAAAAACATTGTTTTTTTAACTATGATGACAAAAAGTGTTTTTGCAGGAAGGTAGGTTGAAATGAACGAATGAGCGCTATTATCTATATGGCACTCAGGGTCGGCACGCGCTCCTCACGACGCGAACTTTTGACATGTAGTGCTTCAAGTATGATAAAGGCTAACTAAATTGATATTGCTTTTATTTTTTTTATATAATAAATGAATAAAGGAATTGATCCCGTAGCATCATCTAAAAATAAAAAAAAATTAAATAGTAATGTGCTTTCTAAACTGAGCGTTCTATTATTTTAAATATTGCACAGTTATGTATGACAATTAACAAGTCTTTCGTCAGTTTTATTGTGAAAAAACAGAGAGAGAGAATCAACTCTTGAAATACCTTAACTCAAATATTTTACAAGTAGGAATATTGTTGTCGCCAGTAGTTAATTAACGAAAGAACGAATTATTATACGACTTAAATTGGCAGGTGGTTTGTTCAAATAATTCCGGCGTTTCGACCATCCGGGTTGTGGTCCTTTTCAAGGAAATAATGTAGATATATTAATTAGTCGTAGTTATGACGTTAAAAAGACGTAGAAACTATGTTGGAAGGCACGTCCGACGCAACGGCCACAGTAGGACTTAATATCATAACTATGACTAATTAATATACGTACATTATTTCCTTGAAAAGGACCACAACCCGGATGGCCGAAACGTGGGAATAATTTAAACAAACCACCTGCTCTAGTTTACGTCGTATAATAATTCTTTCTTTCGTCACAAATATTTTACTTTATCTTTAATTACTGTTACGGAATAGACTAATTTTCCAACGTTCGAGTATTCTATGTACTCCCTTAATTAATAAACTTGCTTAAGTTTGATGATACTATTTAATTATCAGACGTAATTGTGCAGTATGTATGGAACCAGATCAGAATTGTTTTAATTCATTTATTGCGTAAGGAATAAAAGCGATGTTATTTTAACGTCAGTATTTTCTTGACTATACCTGGCATTGTTAATGATACAGAAAATTTATTGCGAAAAATCCTCGGTGGTCGAATTGGTGAGACGCCCGCCTAGAGTGTAGGTAGGTCCAGGTTCAAACCATGGCTGAGGTAATATTTTTCGCAATAAATTTTCTGTATTGTTAAAAATGCCAGGTATAGTCAAGAAACCACTGTTGTTAATTATCGCTGGCGACATTGAAGAATTCTTATTAGTCGATGTTATTTTAGTTAACTTTATCATATTTTAAGCGATACCCTACGCAAAACGTTCAAGCACTATCTACAAGCGACTGAAGAGCGCGCGCCGGCCCTGAACGCCGTACAGATAAGAGCGCTCATTCGTTAGTTTCAACCTGTTCTCTTGCAAAAACTATTTGTCGCGCGCAACTTTGCTAAAGGAAATAGTTGTTTTTTTTAGCTTTAAATAATCACTCCATGCGCGAAGTTTGGGGCCACTGTAATATGAAGATTTTAACAGTAACTGAAGACAAACGAAATGGATCAATATCCGTTATTGGATACTATTGTGTCATCTGTTAAACTGCCTCAATGCTATACCAAGCACTTAGCCGCTCTCGGCACACTGCACCATAGGAAAGATGGGATGAAAGATCCTAAATGGTACGTGTCTGTGCCCCTTTCAGACCTGTTGGACGATCCATCAGTGTTAATCGAGGGTGTCCTGTTCCGCGCGAGGTACTTAGGATCTACGCAATTGGTATGCGAAGGTCAACCGACGAAGTCGACTCGCATGTGTCAGGCGGAGGAAGCCGTTTCCAGAATAAAGGTACATATGTATATGGCAACGCACTTCTTGTTTAATTCTTATCTCAGAACTGAGACATACTATTCCTCTTGAACTGGTATTATATACGTCAATTGCGTAAGATGTGTATATACAGATTATATACAGATATGTGTATATAAAAAAGCACAATATATACATATATATACATATCTCATGTACAAATAGAACGTGTATGTGAGGGCACTTTTTCTAAAGATTTTTGCGAAGCATCGAAAAGAGCTCGTGGAGTACAGTATGAATTATTGAGTGCAATGTTAATCACTTAACAGCCACGTATATTATCTTCCTAGAATGTTTGTTCTCAAGAGCAGTAACTACTAATTAAGTGAGCATATCGCGACATTCGATAGATAATGCATCCACATGATATGTTATGTTCTGTTTAGATCAGTAGCACTGAGTTTGGAAGACACATTATATATAGATCAAATACAAATATGTTTTTTACACATTGGCTAAATGTTCCGATCGTTGGGTTTTCGACTGACTGTCGAAACGAAAGTCAAAAACATTAGGAAATCTGTTAGAGAGTGTAAAGTCGTTTCAGGAACCGTTAGAATCGAACTGCGGATAATAATAACGAAATTAGCAGCATGCTCTGAATGCTTTATACTATTTTAATTTGCTACTTAATTTGTAGTGAACAACAGTGCAATATTCTCATCTGCAATAATGTATTTCAATGTTAAGGTTTTTAACTTTTTGAGGGTCCTTAAAATTTGCAAATTTCCTCTCGACGCAGTCGCGAAAAATATGCGCTGTAAGATAACATAAATAACATATCTATGGTAATCGCAAGGGATTTGCGCCTCTTTATAAAATATTTCAGTGTTGTATCATTTCGAGACCGTTAATTTACCTCAAATGGTTAAAATGCTGGAATCTTAAGTGATTAGTTAAACCTGAGAGTTTTCTGTAGGAAAGAGTACTGTCCAAATCGTGTCTTACGACTCGTTTGCCAAAAGGACCATAGACCATAGTTGACCAAAATACTCTCCTTAGAAAATAGTACAGATCGTGTCTATAGTGTACCCGTTATATTTTCGTTTACATAGTCCATATTTTTACCAATAACAAGATACTACGATGTTACTTTCTCCTTGTGTCAGTTCTCATATAATTTTACGATACTGATCAATCTTTCGAGGAAACTGTCAATATTAAGCAGATGAAACAGTAAATTCTTTCCTCCTACTCTTAGGTTCTGCTCACGAGCAATCAAACGTCAGCATTTAGATGAGATAAACCTCTTTTCTATCTGCAACAATGGTTTCCTTTTCTACGCGGCCTTTTGCCAACGCCTGAGACAACTCTCCCTCGAGAGGAATCTAAATGCTGATCTCTGTCTACCTCTATCTGATAATTAATCTAAATATAATTGTGAACTGGCCGTTGTGCAAAGAGGCCTGAATGTTTCAGTGTAGCGCCCCCCTTCCTCACATCACCAACACCACCACCACCACCACCACCTGACCACCGAACACTGTCATCTTCTCAGTGTAACTTTGATGTGATTTCTGTATTTGTCTCTGTCAAACTTTCTTTCTCTCTTTCTGTTTCTTTGCGAATATTTCGTTTATATATCTGTCCGCTTGCTGTATCCGCTTTCCCGTAGACTCTTGATCAGTTTTACGCACAAAATGTCCGTGTCATTCACGGGAGATATTGGTCTACTCACAATCAGTAACTACATTATGTGCAAAATATCCAACATATTACTGTACAACTGGCTCATAGAGAGGAAGACAACTGGGATCGCGAGAGACAAATCTAGGTGCGGTGTAACAGACGGCTCTGTTTTTAACTGTTTGTAACTCTTTCAAGGCAAATTTCTGGGAAGTTGCAAGAAATTTCGTAGAATATTTATCATGATTTCAAGCTTCGGAGAGATATGATATCCGATTATAGCGAATTGATAGCGCGGTGACGCTACGATATTCTGACAGTATCCTACAAGATTGAGCGTAATTAATCGCTTATATACATTCGTTCAATCTGATTTTTTAAGAATATAGATCGCTAAACATTTTCCTCTTATGATATCTTATTGTCGCATGGAGTGAGATCTTATATAGTTGAGTAGACCAGGACTGCGATTCTTTTCTTATCGCTGCAAGAATACTTTGATTGCAAAATTAATTGCAGGAATTAAAATAGAAATTATATTTTCATCATCGAGACATCCATCGTGAAAGTAATTTATTTAAATTGATGGCACTAACAATAAGAGCAGAAGTTGTGATATTAATCAATTCGTTCAATAGTGTATGCATGATAATTGCAAGGCTGCTAAGCTGTGCTCTGATATAGACGGTGTAAATAAGAAAATATTTGAGGCCAGAATTTTGAAGAGTCTCTCCTGATAGTCTGCTAAAATTTCTTGGCGATTTCGTTATACGTTGATGTAGCTTTTTAACAAGCCGTACTAAAACTCGTGCTTACATCATGCTTTTGAATAGCGCCGACAAAAGGACTTTACTCACGCTTTGCACCTAGTTTCTCTGTACTTGTTTACGGAAAGACACTTTGAGTCGAAATTATTGCTACGAGGAATAATAACTCTGTGCGTGGTCAATTGCTTGTACTTGTTTGCGTCGCTCGTTTTCGAGACAAAATTAGGCAAGATTGGCTGATCGAACGAAACCCGATTGCTCGTCGCGATACAGAGCCCTACCGTGCTTCGAGTTCTGAGTTGCTGGCTAAACATCTAGAGACTTACAGCCAAACGCGCAGCATCGCTATTGATACATTTTCGAATTACAATTGCAGCGGACCCGCGTGTGCTCGACTTTACCATTCTGTAACATAGCATAAACGCTTGCACGTTGCACAGCTTCCAGACACCGTAAGCTTGTCCGAAGGCAAAATTGCATAATGAAGGTCGCATCGTGTGCAGAAGTGTATGCTACCGGACTAATGCATTTATATATGTGTGAATGACTTGAATCCGGCATACGATAGAGGACACAAGCATGACACACTGTGCATAAGAGAAAAGTAAAGCCGTATTTGGTATAGCAACTCAAGAACTCATGAACATTGGCTCTTTTGCCTCTCGTTCTGTCGGTGGTGCGTGGCAATGTGACTAGCAGAGCCTTTGTTTGTTTGTTTGTTTGGCGCGTACATAACGGAAGGATGATGGGCCAGTGCCGATGCAGGCAACACTCTTAAACTATGGGGGGCAGCGTGGGTATGGTCGCTGCAGCATTGCCTCGCAAGGAAGCCTAGAGGAGGACGAGTGCGACTCGAGCGAAGAACTTATAGGAAGCGCTTCTGGTGGGGGCCAGTCCGAGTCGCAAGCGCTTGGGGCCCAGCCGAAACTGGCCCCGATCAGTGGCTGCTTGGGGCCCACAACCGTTTTCAGACTACAGTTTCTTGGGTCGGTGGAGGTGGAAGAGGAAGGGGGACGTAAACGGCGTAAGCGCCTTAAGAACCACATGGTGGAGGAGGCTGTGACAAAAATAAAGGTCCGCCCTCATTGCCCTTCATCCCCAGACAACCTCTCCCTGCCCCCCCCCCCCTTTCGCTGTTAAATCCGAGCGACTGCCCTTTGACTCGTACAAGAGCAGTCGTTCGACCGTTTCATCCCCCTATTGATTTATTATGTAATACCGACGAGGGTCAAACCTCTTTACGGCCATTTTCATCTTACGGCTTGAACGAATTTTATTTTACTCGAGACCCGCCACAAAATCCAAGCAGCAATTTTCCCGTAATATGCACCTTTCAGTTACGAAACTCGTGTATTACCTGCGTACAATGCACATTCTTCATAAGTCGTAGCGACGAGTCTCTTTAAATGTTGCGTCAAAGTTAGGCGACTTTTGTCTCTCAAACTCTCAGGTTTGTGATAGCGCCGTCAATGATTATGCTCAACTTTATATACAGTTTACACTATCGTGCACCATCTACTTATTTTTACTAGCAGTTAAGCGTTGTATGTGTTTTGAAACATTAATATTATACATATGTATTACATTCGTATACATATATTTATAATTAATTACTCGTTTATCTCTACTTTGTCACACATGCTGCTTCCTTATGATATAGGCGCTGGTACGTATATTCTGCGAAATGTATATCGCGCAAATCCGTGGTAATGCAACAGTTATCTAAAAAGGATGTTGTGCTTATTCAGGCACCGGACGGTGACACTCAGCCAAGCACGGAGGTGGATCTCTTCATCTCGACGGAGAAGATCATGGTACTCAATACCGATCTGAAGGAGATCATGATGGATCACGCGTTACGCACGATCTCGTACATAGCGGATATCGGCGATCTGGTGGTGCTGATGGCACGGCGTCGTTTTGTGCCGCACGAGATGGAGGAGGTGCCGAAAATCAACCGAACTCCGAAGATGATATGCCACGTTTTCGAAAGTGAGGAGGCTCAATTTATAGCACAAAGTATCGGACAAGCATTTCAAGTAGCTTACATGGAGTTCCTAAAGGCAAATGGGATAGAGGATCATAGCTTCGTTAAGGAAATGGATTATCAGGAGGTGCTCAATTCGCAGGAGATATTCGGCGACGAGCTGCAGATGTTTGCGAAGAAAGAGATGCAGAAAGAGGTAATGCTCGAAATGCGAAACCGCGTTTCACCCTTTCCATTTGCTAACCCGGGAATGATACGGCTCGCGAAAGATGCGTCCCCGTTGGTCTGTCCAACTCGAAGCTCGAAGCTATTGATAGATGTCGGTTTCTCGTGAATTCCCAAATCCCCGAAATTGAATTAATTCCATCCCAGTTTCCAGGAGAACTGCGTATCGCGATCGAGTTGAAGAAAATTTCGTAATTGCATTGGAGTAACGATCTCTCTGCTTGCAGGTAGTGGTACCGAAAGCGAAGGGGGAGATCCTCGGTGTTGTGATCGTTGAGTCCGGATGGGGCTCGATGCTGCCAACCGTAGTCATAGCAAATTTAGCGCCGGCCGGCGCCGCCGCGCGTTGCGGCCAGCTTAACATTGGCGATCAGATAATAGCGATTAACGGCGTATCGTTAGTCGGCTTGCCTTTGTCCACGTGTCAGACTTACATAAAGAACTCGAAGAATCAAACGGTCGTCAAGCTAACTGTCGTGCCGTGCGCGCCTGTGGTCGAAGTGAAAATCAAGAGACCCGACACGAAATATCAGTTAGGATTTAGTGTACAGAACGGAGTGATATGTAGTCTATTGAGGGGTGGCATCGCCGAGCGGGGTGGCGTACGAGTGGGCCATAGGATAATTGAAATCAATAATCAGAGTGTTGTTGCTGTACCGCACGAAAAGATTGTTAATCTTCTGGCTACGTCAGTGGGAGAGGTACGTAAGCGTGTGTCGCTTTTAGCGTGCGCTCCTTTTACTTGACGGAGCAATACCGGGAAGCAGTTACGTACGAGGGTGAAAGAAACGTTTTCCTTCTTTTCTAGATTTTGATGAAAACGATGCCCACGTCCATGTTTAGGCTGTTGACCGGCCAGGAGTCTCCGGTGTACATATAAAAAGCGTTCAGTTGCCTGGCTGATGCGTAGTGAACAGACAATACATCCACCATCCACTACCATACTATCCGCTACTATCTTTACTGTACAGGTTATTCTATGCAGATCGCTTTGTGTTTTCGATTCTTATGGGACGATTCGATACTTTCACCAGCTCCTGCTTAGTAAACGAGACCTACATAGGTACGTCGCAGAAACTAAATATCTACTCAAGCATAATTTATATGATTATCGATTATTGTAAGCGATATTCGTCTAGTACTAATCAATGAGATTCTCTATAACGTGTGTTCCCTGAAATCTCGCGAGGTATCGTTTCAATGCCGGTCGGTGCATTATGTCAATGCATCGCGGCGTCTGATTTGTTGTCCGAGCGGTGTAGAAATTACGGTGCGAATTGCCGTAATTACTCAGACGTTCGGTTTGTTAGGAGTCTAACAAAGCAATAGGAGAAAAAAATATATATATTGATTTTCAGTGCACAACAAGTGGATGTTACAGAGAATCGCATTATTCGCGCTAAGGAAGATGATAGGCGATGCAAATGATGCAGTTGCACATGATTATAAATAGCACAAAGCTCTTTACCAACAGCTGGAGCAAGGCTGGAACTGTATATTACGTAGTTTAATGACGTAGTAATATTTATAAAAAGGATCTCCCTCTATCTCTCGCGGAGACACTTTAAGCTAAAGCGTTTATTTAATCTTTTTTATCCTTAAGGCCGGCGAATACTTGCGGCGCAACGCCCGAGTATATTAATTTGTACTAAAATTACTATCTTACCATAGTAAACTTCGGACGCGTAAATCTCGTGATAAATAACGCCATAGTAATTATATAGAAGAGTACAGTAACGTAATCTCTCTTTCTATATATATATATGTGTATATATATATATATATATATATGGGAGACATTTTTTTTAACGAGTAGATTAATCTGTTTTGCAATACAATTAAGCTGACTTTTGGCAAGAGATAAACTGTGTCGTCGAATACACGGAAATCAGTCAGTGGACAAAAATGTTGATTCAACATCATGTATGCCTACATATCGCTTTATCAACGCTATTCTGTCGTATAATACTCGCCTGTATCAAGGATGAAGTCGTAACGCAGCACGTTCACCGCGCGATATTATTTATCGGAGCGACGTTTGAAAGTCCTTCGTATTATACCTCGTAAATGACTATTACTCGCGAAAAAAATAGGCAAGTAAAAAATTTTTTACGTTTCTCCGTTTGCTCCGAATATTGCGATATCTATAAGTGCACAATTTCTAATAAATACTTAAAGTTAGCACTTTTGGCAAAAGTATGCGTGCGCGCATGTATGTATGTATGTGTGTGAGAAAGAGATTTTTTTTTGTATCTCGCGAATGATAGTCAAACTGTAAACTTGCAAAAGTCTAATCATGTTCCCAGTATGTTACATTAATCGTTCGCTTCTCCGATCACTTATTGATAAATGTTGAGAAATGGCTGTGTATTTAAGAGTTTAGATTTTATAGATATAAGATCGCACTCGACTTAGGCACTTTAGAGTAGAGGCCTTCAAATCTTTCAGCACTCTACATCCTCTAGCTCTCTTCCGCTCTTGATATTTCATCAATTCCCCGCTAATTTTAACAGATTCAACATCTTCATCGAATTCTTAACTCTAATTGAATCTTCAACTTGAAACACATGGTCGTAGAGCTTGTTAAAGTAGTATACTGACAATTTTTTTCAATGCTTATCGATCAGAAGCCTTCACGCACGTCTCTCGAAATTTTTTCACACTATTAGAAGCAGCGCCCATCTCAATTTAGAAGCTATTTTCAAGTGATCTCGTTTTGCACGAGAGATTAGTGGAGCATGCTTAAAAATCTTTCTATCGGTCTCGACTCCTCTCTATCGATCTAATTTTGTAGAGTAAAGTTTCTCTTAATTCGTTTGTGTCTCGCTTGTTCGGAGAGGTTTAGTTCATAAAGATAATCCTAGTAAGTGATCGTATAAAATGGCTTATAATTATAGACGGCACCTTAACTGTATCAACTGCAGTAAGTCTTCGCTCACCATGTATAATACTTACATGTAAAATATGTAAATTGTACTCGACTTAATGTGGCTTCACTGCATATAGGCATACAAAGTGAAATCTAGCTTCTCCTGACTTGTAACTCTTCGTCAATGGAAAGTTTCTTCTAAAATATAACAGACTGAGACTCACTTCTATGTGTGACCCAATAAGATAAAAAAACTTACTCATTCCAGAGAAACGTAACTCTACACTCGTACTGCTAGAAAAGAAAAAGGAAAAACATGTTCTCTTCTATATAAATACTATATGCCATAATAATCTAAGTTTTATCTATTTTTGCTGAAGATTTCTCACCTTCGAGCTATTCTGCTTCAAATATCAAGAAATGTGCGATAACAAACTTTGAGATTCCTGATGTCTGATAAAATTTCAATGCCAAAGTACATTAAGTAGCGAGGCGTGATGACGGGACAGCCGAGTATTATTTTCAACGAACTGAAAGATTAATCAGATTTTGTCTGAGAACGTGCGATCATTTAAGGAACGACGTACCCTAATTTGCAAAAAGTTAAACTTGTGTTGTCTCTATCTTCTGATATCATTCAGATATACAGGGCATTTAAAGAAAAAGTGTTCATGAGATTACGTTTACTGAATATCATGTAAAAGATATCTAATAAACATGAAGAAAATTATCTTTTCGAGCATAGAAGCATTATTCACGACATTGTGCAAACCGAGAATTGTTTCTATCCGCAAGAGGACCAGATTTTCAAGGCATGTTAATTAAACATCTTTCGCATAATGAATACGCTCTGCAGATCTTGAACTCTTCTTTTTTAAACAGCCCGTGCGAGTCATAAAATTTGTGTTCACGTAGTGTCATAATACGTATTGTAAAAACAGTCATACGTAAACTTGTTTAAAACGACGAGGAATGCTAATTTTATAATAAATAAACTAGAAGTTAATTTTGAAAGGTTGAATATTGTGTGTATTATGGGCATTGCTCTCTTTGCTTTGTCGACACAACGGACATGGATTCTCCGTATCTAAGTCGACTCTTCGATTACTAATACCTTCACAGATCTCTGATTTGCCATAGACACGATATTTCCTACGGGACAATTCTCTGTGAGGCACGTGGGTGAAGAAGCATGTATATAAAAATTTTTTCGTTGTTTACGATATTTAGTGATGTAAAAGCGAAAGTAAGACACGATGGGCGGTGCCGTAAATCGATGCGGACGGGGAAAGCCTCGTGAGGATAGTTGCGTGAGAAATGTCACAAAAAAAAAATATATATATATAAATATATGATAATTCCATTACTTCATCGAGAAGGATGTAGCGAAGCATATTACGATATTGCATATCATGGGGAACCGATATATCATTGTGGAGACCTTCATTCATTACGGGCAAATATTTAAAGTAATCCACGAATATGCAGAAAAAAGCATCTTTGCCGGAATCACCAGAGTTTAAAAATAAAAGAAATCGTGACTATATACGTTATACATAGGCAATGGATTTTGGCATAGAAATTTTAACCATATATTCGACAAACAACACAAAGCGGTATGAATATAATATATGGGATCAAACAAGATGTGTTATATATTGGGTGGCTGAAACTTATCTAGTCATTACGCTAAGAATGAGATGAATATGTGTGTGTATGTGTGTACGTATACATATATGTACACACATACATATATAAATATAAATATATAAATACAGAAAAGTATATATATATACATAAGTTAATACTCAGCCATCGCAAGCCACCCTGACTGAATGTGTCTAGCCACATTTTAATAATGACATCTGCAACTTGTACTGTCAATCTGGCCTTGCGTGGTCATTACTTGTACGTTCGTTAGAAAAATGTAATATTAAATCGTCATTATTACAGTCTTTGTTTGTCAACTCAAATTTTATGGAAAAAAAGCAATAGATTAATTTTATTTTAGTAAAACTTGAAGACATATAAGTTATTAAAGTATGGCTTCTCTTAAAGTATCTGCGAACGTAAAAGAAGTTACGAGCATAAATATACAAGCTCATTTGACTTTATCCGTTGAAATTCTATCGATCTATTCTTCACCTAAATTCGTTTTCTATGGGATTTTTTTCTAGATTTTCTACGATTGTTGGTAAATTATATTATATATGAACGACTGCGAGGGGAGAGGATCTAGTAAATTTGTTCTGTTTATAAATTTAAATAAGCGTACAGTTCGTCGAAATGAGAGTTTCGTCGTATAATTATTTCCAAGCGCTGTAAGACATTTGACGCCCGTCCTCTTTGACGAGGACATTGGCGGATAATAATGTCTGATTTATGGAATATTTCGTCGATGACAAAGCATGTTTTGCATCATCGAGCCTTACAAAGTGAAAAATGATGATCGTGCAAAGTCAGTGTGAATGGTAAAAAAATCCCAAAATTGCAGTCAGAATCGTTATGAGGCAATTGAGAAAGAACCCAGCCATTCATAAATAAATAAAAATAATTATATATTACACACATATATAGAGCTTGCGCTGTAGCTTCACCAGTCATGAAACATGCTACGAGATATCATGACTGCCCTTATCAATGTTTGTGAGTGTATAATAAGTTATAAACTATAAGTGAGCTATTGAATGTGTATATGGTATATGCTAGTCCATACTAAGATACAATAAAATGTAATTTTGAATTCAAATTCATACGTGGTTGTCTGTCACTTTGAAGCACGGCATGACGCATCGATGAAAACGATATAGCTTTTCTTCTATTTTTCTGTTCTCTCTTAAAGGCTTTATTTCTTCAAAATATTCCACATGACATGTGAAGCAATGAGGTATATACATTATGAAGCTTGTTCATAAAAGCGGTCTAAAATTATCTAAACTATTAATATCGTGGAAAGTAGAAGCACCAACCAGAGTCATTCCTTTCCTTTCAAAATGTCATAACGATTTTCTTTACATTCATTTTAGCAGTTAATGTTGACGTAACAAATACACATTGTTATAATAGAAATACAACGTGTCATATCATCCAAGCATTATACTTATAGAAAAGAAATCAGTTTTACTCGTTCTCTTTCTATTAGTACTTTGTTATTATATTATTAGCTTCCATATTCGATTACTAATTTTGCTACATACAAGTCAATCTAAACTGAAATTTTATACTGTAAATTTTATCATGTGGGTTGACATATTTCGGCAAAGCAATGATTAAACGTAAAAAAAAGGAAGCTAACATATTTTAAATACATAAGTGCTGATTACACTTAGTCAAATGTACATATAGTGGCATTCAACTTTTCTGGATGTTAATTATTAATTTACGTACGTTAATTATTCCATAGTAGCTCTTGGAAAATGTCTCGTACCGCACTGGCACAACGTGATAATGCATACAGTAGAATAATTATTCTATATATCCCAAACTCTTAATAATAATTTCTTTATTATTGCAGATTATCTACAATTGTTTTAACCTATTCCCGTGTCCTTAGATTACAAAACCTCTCTGTTGTAATAAGTATTTAAAAAAAGGGGGTTTTATTAATGTAATTTCTCCATTTTACGAATACTTATATACACTAACTGGTTGTACTTTTTCTCACATTTGATGCAATAAAACGTACATTAGGTATAAACCATTGACATTTTTATTAAGCCGATTATATCGATATTAAGATTAATTTATTGAGCCCCAATGCATTATAATAATTATATTAAATATTTCTATCTATATATATAGATAAATATTTAATATTTAATAATTACATTAAATGTTTCTATCTATATATATAGATAAATATTAAATATTTCTATCTATATATATCTATATATATATACTATATTCCTTTGCCACCATTTTGTTATAAAGATATTGTTTCTACTATTTTTCTATTTATTTATTTACTTACACAATGTGCAACGTATGTAAATTTAACTATTTTTTTTTTTGCGTATGTTCAATTCTTGTTACGATCGTTATCTTTACTTATCAAATGGAAAATATGTATATATATATATATGTAATTATGTATTTTACATTGTCTCCTTTAAACAAGCAATCATCATAAAACAACCTTGTTTTTATCTGTTTTAATCAGATCGATTTTCTCTATGTTAAAATTTATTGTATAGTTGTATCTTAACGAACAAAGAAATTTGTTCATTGCGAGACACAATAAAGAATTTTTCTATGCTCCTTACTTATATTTACATATTATAAGCAATTAATTGGCAATCGTTATTAACATAATGGAAGATTCCTATTCACTCGTAGCTCACCTTTTCTCCGAGCACAAATCAAATGAATATATTTCTCCTTATTATATTGAAAGTAAAAAAAGCCTTCGCGATAATCTACACCTCGCAATGAAATAATGTCGTAGATATCGAAAGACGCTTAAGTTACATAGATTGAAAATGCTTTCGTGTATCTCCTTTAATACCTATAAGACATGTGAGATAAATAATAGCTATTACTGATCGGTCTTATCGTTCTCTATTCTACGTATGCAAGGATACTTAAATCTATGGTGTATTAGACAGAGACAACCAGTTAGCATACACATAATAAATTTGTTATAAAGGAAAAAAAATGTATGTTAAAACGCAGATTTCTCGATCTCATTTTTAAACAACACATTAGGAAGAGAGAAAAAAAAAGGATTAGTTGCAAATTTCACTAGTTTCATATATCTGTATATTGAAAGAATTGTATGTCGCATACTTTTCCTTAATATAATTTCAAACTTGTGTAACATATCTCGCCACGTCTTCTCACAGAGAGAGGCTTCCTCTTGCGGATACGCAACGTTAATATAGGAAGAAGATATTTACGAAGTTTCTCAATGAGCGATTGAATAAATCCAACAGTGCTTTGCATTTCCCCCACGATATAGAAAATATCCATTCTGTTTACTCTTACAAAACTTTTATTATTTTTATAGCAAAATTGTGGACACAGGTGCCGGATACGCAGTTGGTGCGGGTAAGGTGATGAAAAGTCTGGGAAAGGTAGGAGTAACGTCGCTTTGCTTTGTCGTGGGCGATCTGACAAGGCTGAGATCAGTTGTCCATAGCGTATCTTCGGGTCCACTCTTTGGCATTACGTATCGCTTCGCTCTCATTAACTTTCCAAAGTTCAGCTACATCATTTGCCAAAGGATCGTCCGGGTTCGGTGCGCTTAGGAGCGCTTGTATGGACAGCAGAACTGTTCTGATTTGAAGCGCTGGACTCCACTTATCCTTGAGGATATCCAGGCAAATCCTGCCCAATCTACAGACAAGTCGAGAGGAATCACATTAAAGCGTTACAGCATACTGAGACGTCGATTATCCACTTTTGTCATTTTTGTTCTAATTGATCAATCTTTCAAGTCAATATACACGAGCAATTCCATTGTAATCTACCGTTAGATTTACGTCTGTTCTTGAGGATATCCAGGAAAATCTTGTTCAATCTACAGATAAAATCTCGAGCTAGATCATGAAGTGTCGCAGCGTGCCGGGACAGTAGCGAGTAGACGATCCGCTCTTGTCATTTTTATTTTAATTGATCAATTTTTTAAACAAATATACACGAGCGACCTATTATTAGATTTACGTCTAGCAGAGATAATGTACGACTTTGTTTTTCTTGGCTTGCGCGCAACGCAAGAAATGTCAGAAGTAACTTGATAAAAAAAAAACAAAACGCAAGAGACGCTAGAGGTAACTTGATAAAATCGAGACTGCATTTGACAAATCGAGATAGATATGTCACAGTTGCCATCTTTACCTGTCTATATTTGGATGATATATTTTTGTGATAAACCTAACTTTCGGTGCAGACATTGGGTAATCTTCTGGTAGGAACAATTCGAGCTTAAACAATCCACCTTCGAATGGCGAATCTTCAGGTCCCGTTACTATTACGTGAAAATATCTAGCATTTGTGTCGTCTGGCACGGCGCTGATACCAGGAACTGGTTCTTGCATTAATCTTTGAGTCTCTTTAATGATCCTCCGTGGTAGCGCTGCCATTGTTTATGCAAAGATCTGCGAGGAAAAGAAATTTGCGGGGTTACTAAAGCTCGTCACTCTTGCACCAAGTGTACCAAACGTGTTGGCAAAGAAGAAAAAAAAAAGAAAAACCGGTCACGAATTGAAATCCGAAAATTCATCCGACGATAAGATTAACGTTCAAGACGACATCTTTATCATTTGTTATTAGTCGAAGTGCTCGAGAAGACTCCTCGATCTTACAAGTTTTTAACGAAATGAAACGGCTACTCCACTTTCTCTCTCACTCGTCTATTTGTTTCTCTACAAATATACGCGCGATTTGCGAGGCGAATTCAAGTCCGACGACTAACGTAACAGCGAATTGTACTTCGTGTCGCGACAGAACCTTAATCGAACGTCTGCACACGTCCGCACGCGAAAATGATCACTGAACGTAATTTTTTTCTTTGTTGCAAAATCATCTCGCATTAAACCACAAAGAACAGACGCGCTGACGCGAAAATCATCTCGAGCCATCTCGTCAGCATCTTTCGCATACCGTCGGGAGAACTTTTCTCTCTCTCTCTCTCTCTCTTTCTCTCTCCCACCCTTTCTACACAAAACACAATGCTGGCTGTCGAGCGGTCATTCCGCACCGCGATTTACAAACCGGATATCCTGGCATGTGTCGAGGAGGCGGGGAATCGATAATCCCACCTTCGCGGCCAACTCGTCGACGGGCAACGGGCGATCGGCTGCGAATTGACAGCGTTGACAGCTTTGCCGCACACCGAGCGAGAGGCACGTACGCGCGCATACTCGCGCGCGCGCGGACGCGAGGGTACGCGTGTGTGCGAGCGTGCGTGCGCGCAGGTCCACGGTACGCGCTGCCAAGTGTCGGGGACGAGACGTCGTGGAGAGCCGCGTGAATCCTCGCGGCGACAATCGCGAATGATAAACGGGGGCGCGCGATAAATCCGGGGGTCGTTTCTTCGCATGGGGCGGGACGGAGAAAAAGATAGAGAGAGAGAGAGAGGAGCGTTGCGGATCGCGCGCATCCGATCGCATAAACAAAGGGTGCGAACGCGACGATCCGTCCGGTCGCTCCGGCGCCCCGACACGACGCCGTAGCGGCGGCGGCCGACGTGCGCGCCGTCCGCACGCGGATACGTACGATATTTTCCCCACGCAAAGAGCTCGCAGTCGCGCCCCGTCGCGCGAGTCCTCCGGCAGTTTTTCCCTCTTCTCTCCTCCACGACTCCGTCCCACGGAGCGTCGTGTTCTTCTAGAAGGCTCGAGCCGCCGTCGTAGTCGTAGTCGTCGCCGACGTCGGCTCTCGTCGGCCTCGCCAGCCGACTCTCCGCGGGAGGTGGGGGGGTGGGGGTTGGGGGGAGTGGGGACCCAACCGGCCGGTGATCCACGGGTGCGTGGCCCCGCGGTTATGCTCGATCGTAGCGGCTAATTCAATTTCCAGCCGTGCGCGGACGTGATTTACCGCACACGGTCGGCGGTTCGTCTCGGCTGTGTGGTGTGTCCGTGGACTTAAGTCGGTGGTCCCTCCCCCCTCACAGCCGCCTCTCGCGATTCATTTTGTCACGCTGCTTGATGGCGCTGCTTGCTTTCTCTCTCTCGTTCTTCCGTACTTTCGTGCCGTAACGCGCCGTACCGTACTGTACTGTCCGGTCCGTCCGGTCCTCTCACTCGCGCGCGCGAGCCAACTCTCGTCGTTCGGGCACACGCTCGACACCCCGCTCGCCCGATACCCTTTATTCGTCCGTTGTCTCGGAGAGCGTCACCGAACTACGAAGTCATGAAGTCACGGGAGGCTAGATTGCGACGAGAGCGCGCGTCGATGAGACAATGCCGCCCCTCCCCCCTACCCGGGCATGTATATTATATAGATGGCGAACCGTGCAGTCGTTTTACATTATTCACTACAATGCGAGTCGCAGAGTTGTAGTCGTAAGAATAATCGACTGCGATTGGTCAATTTC